ATATATGTCAGAATAATATATGAACACAAATAAAGCTGTGGAATGTCGATTAAGTTTTAAGAGAGCAACATGTGACTCGTGTTGTCTGTTGAAGAATGTTCATGGGTCGACATTTGTTTTAGTGCTTTAGAGTTAGCTTTTGCAAAAATTTTCAGTGTGTTAGTGCTTTAAAATTAGGGGACCTAAATATTTGAGTTAGTGTTTTAGTGGAACTAGTTTTTCGATTAGTGCTGCCCACCACTGGAAGTTTGTCCAAAGTGTTGCAAACAAACCTGATGTTTTTTTCTGAATGTGTGGCTAGTTTTTTTTATTAGCCACTTACTTTTTTTTTTACTTTTCACAATTATGTACTTATTTTTTCTCAAAACAAGAGGCCTTATGTAACTAAGATTGTGAAAACTGATAAATATTATATTGCAGTATGTATCAGCTAAGAATACTTGATTCAGTTAATAACCATTTTTTCACACCTGATATTTTTTATTGTAAAACAATTTGTTTTTTCTCAGTTATTTGTTATTGACAAACACTTTTTTATGTATTTAATCTTTAGTGAGACGTGCAGGCTGAGCACCTTTGATGAAAAAAGAACTTCTCGTCCAGCCCAGCCCAGGACGGCCTGAGCTGACCACAGGCTGACGTCTGCTGCAGTCAGCTGGTTCCAGAACAGTTGTCGGGCTCATTCCTCAGGCAAACAGACACACGTACATCCTCCTGACCAAACATTCCTCCAACAATAATCACACACTCAGACAGCTGAGTCAAAAGTCATGCTGGACAGCTTGGACAATGACCTCTGGACACCCTGTTTCCTGCTGCTGGTTGAGGATGGCAGACATTTTCAGGGGGTTGTCCTGTCATCCCACACTTTATCCCTTTTTCTCCTTCGTTCAGATACCTTCAAATACCGATAAATGTTTGATTAGCTTCATGTTTGTTGCAGCTTTGTGGTTTCTGGATGTTCTTCCTCTGTTTCGCCCTGATCTCTGTGCCTGTGGGCGTGGCCTGTCTGCACCTAATTAGATTTTCCCATGCTGATTGGATTACCGTGTGGGCATCTGCTGACGAACAGAGACACAAACCAGAGGAAGAACCAAGCTGTACCCACCTTTATATTCTGATTGTGGTTTTTGTAAAAACCATCTTACAAAAACATCTTATTTTACTTTAATGGTTTAGTCATTCATACAGCACAAAAACATAAGCCACCATCCATGATTAAATAATTTTATAAATCTATGTGTTTGATGGTATTTATCAAGTATTCATGGATGTATGCATTTGCAGTATAACTTGATCAAACATCCAGCAATGTTGCAAAATCTTCACTTATCTAAAACAACAGGGTCGAATTTTAGTTTCACCTCAAATAATTGCTGTGTCATGTTGACGTGTGTGGGACTGCAGCGTTTGTCAGCATGAGTACGAGCACAGATATTCAGATCCCGCTGCTTCTTAAGGTTGTCCTCACAGATG